AGAGAGAGAGAGAGAGAGAGAGAGAGAGAGAGAGAATGAGTGAGTAGGTTTGTTATGAAGAAGATCATTCTCAGCAGAAAAAGATTACTTGTTGACTCACATATAATCCCATCCAAGAACATTTACAATTTCTTCTTCATTGCAAAATTTCAATATTCTTTCGTTGCCGGATGCTAAGTCAAAAATAACATAATTGAAAAACTTCAAAACTTGTCATTAGCTTCATTAAACGATCCACCCCTGATGCTGTTAATCACTGTCTTAAACGATTCTGAAATTTTGAACAAATGAGGGTTATTTTTACGTACAGACATGTTTTCGTCATTGGGGGGGGGGGGGGGGGGGGGGGGCTCTTGCCATGTATGCCCCAAGGCATACCCTTGCTGAGTGTAACCCATCTATTTTGGAACTTTTGCTTTTTATTATGTACGTTCCCGGATGCCGAAGATGTCCTCCTTGTTCTACTATAAGTCATATCGATCAAAAAAGAAATCTCCTCAAGCTAAGTTGATCTATTAATAAATTCAGTGTCTGGTCACGTCAAAACTTCTGCTTCCTGGACCGTCAAGGTATATAGACGGAACAGATTGTCTAGCAGAAGCATTATAACAGTATTACCTGCTGTGAATCTCTTACAAAAGAAATACATCATTTAATTCATTTTGTCACTGTTATATATTACGTCGTTTATTTTACAGTGCCAGCCTATGCCCCAAATGTTTGTAACAGATTTACGGAAATAGAATATTATAAAGATAAACAATGAAAACAGAACCCGAGAAGTACTCGGAGGATACTGTTGTTGACGTTTCCTACAGAGGATTTTTATTATCGGAAAAAAAATAATTTTCGGTGCAAATAATGATCTGATAACATGCATAAACATTAACCCTTATCATTCCCTGGACCAATGGCAATGCTATTTATGCTTCACATCAGTATTTGGCCTGATATAGGCCTAAACTCTTCAAATCATGTACATAGATTGACTTACACAATGCGGGTACACAAATCTGAATAAAAAAGAAACACGGAATAATGTGACAAATATAAGCAGGCATGCTTTCTCGTTGTTTATAACTGTGTCTATTGTGTTATCATTTCATGTCGTGTGCATGTGCGTCCGTGTGCTATGGAAAGGTAGTTTGGTGGAGGCTTAAGAAAACTAGATGCTTGATATTTCTGAATTTGATATTTCCACTATAATTAATTAAAAAAGTAATAAAATGGTTTAGTAAAGTGTAAACTATTAGCGAAAATAGTAATAGCATTGCTTGGGTTTATGTGTCTTGATCTTTTCTTTGACTTATTTTTGGGCGTATTTTTTCTTTTACATTCTCATTATTCTTGTCGAAGCAGTTCATAGTCACACACAGGTGTCATTTAAAACAGCTGCGCAGGGAAAGGGCGCCATGAAATAAAGACAGTAAGCAGTCCACCAAAATGTGTTTCCTATGACCACAGCACATTTTCTCTTGTCGTTTTCATATTATGATGTCATCCCAGATGCCTGAAACTGGAGAGTGGGAGAGAGAGAGAGAGAGAG